GTGCCATCAGGCTTGCCGTCGGTGCTTCCGTCCGGCTTTGTCGTGCCATCAGGCTTGCCGTCGGTGCTTCCGTCCGGCTTTGTCGTGCCATCAGGCTGGCTGTCGGTGCTGCCATCCGGCTTTGTCGTGCCATCAGGTTGACTGTCGGTGCTGCTGCTGCCATCCGGCTTCGTCGTGCCATCAGGTTGATCGCTGCTGCTGCCATCCGGCTTCGTAGTGCCATCAGGTTGATCGCTGCTGCTGCCATCCGGCTTCGTGTTGGTCGTGCCGCTTTTGCCATCTGGCAAAGAACTGGAAGAGCCATCGACCGGCTTTGTCTTGCCATCCCCTTGCTCGTTCGACTGATCATCCGGATTAGAAGCGGACGAGGGAGGAGCATCCAGGCTCTTTGCCCATCCATTCTTTCCCGGCTCCCCAGTCACGTTCCAGTCGAGCTGAGCGAGTACTGCCCAGGTGAAATCGAAGAGGGTGCTGTGGCGTAGTCGAGCAAGAAGATGTCAAGGGAGGAGACCCAAAAAGGGTTGAGCAGGCATATCAAATGGGTTGGATGATTCCTTCGAAAGCCATTCGAACCTCTTTGGCTTCACTCTCTCTCTCTTTCTCCCTCTCCTGTTCCCCAGCACGACTCACCCATTCGTACCACCGTTGCTCCAAGAAGCACCACCCAGATGGGCGACGCAAGCAAGTCTAGCCGTTCCCTTCGTTCCAGGCTGATAAGCGCACTCTTGCTTAGCCTTGCCAGTAATGCTGTCACAAAGCTTGGTGAAGCGATGTTCAGCAGCCTTGGCCGACGTCTTGAAGTTCACATCTGAGGTGCGGAGAGAAGCATAGCGGGGCGTTCGCACCAGTGATCAGCTTCTTGCGGAACGCTAGCTGGCGCACGCGCGCGCGCGCATGGGAGCACACTCACCAACCAGAGCATCCAGGATACTCTCTACGGGAGAAGCCTCGGGCTTTGTTCCGTCTGGACTATCCGCTACAGGTCGAGAACTGACCGCGGGCAGACTCGTCAGTACGGCAGTTAAAAAGATGAGAGAGCGCAAGAAGTGCATGATGTGAGCGCAGCGTGCGTGCGTGTGTCTGTGTGCGAGAGAGCGCGGTGTTGCTGTCGAGTGTGTCGATGGATGTATGTCGTCGTCGTCTTCTCTTTCCCACTCTTCTTCTGATTCTTTGTCGTTGTCGTTTTTGTGCGCTGTAGTCGACGCCAGGTCGTCGGTCTATTCGAGTCTGAGGAGAAAAGTCGAGTTGTAGAGGCAACTCCGACCGCTGGTATTTGTAGCTTTTGCCGCTTCACGCGAGCAGCGGCGGGAGCACATTGCGTTCTGCGCGCATCGTACCTCTTACAGCACTCGCAGCATCGTGGCAGCGTCGCAGGTCTCGCTGCACATCCTTCGACTGGCTGGTCGCAAGAGACGAGAACGTCGCTCGAGCTTGGCCGATCGATCAACAGCCGACGCACTTTGGAGCTGGCCCATGAGATTGCATCAGCGATGCAGCATACATCCGCCCGCCAGGAGATCGCATTGTGATGTCTACCAGGGGATGTCTCGCAGCTCGATTGATGCCTTGCGATCGTCGAGAGGCACTGCTTTACTTCAAATCACTGCGCGATTATGGGCGCGTGCAAGCCATCACCTTCAGTCGAACTTTGAACTTTAAGACGCCGTCCGGTCGGCGTCTGCGCGATTGGATGGTGCCCCTGAAAGCAAGCATTCAAGGTGGCATCTAATTCCAGCAGCCATGTCAGGCAGACGCATCTCGCGTGAGACGCCTTCCCGTTGATTAGCAGCTAGTCGATCAGAGCATGTATGCGCCTATTGACGAACGATGGACGCGTTCGCCTGCGTCGAAGCCGATGCTGATGCTGATGCTGATGCTGATGCTGATGCTGATGCTGATGCTGATGCTGATGCTGATGCTGATGCTGACTCATCGCATCCACCGTCTCACGGGCAACCCATCGCACATCCACTTTCGACGCTCCTCATTACAGATCCTCCCGATTCGGCGGCCTTGCCCGCGAACAACATTGTGCTAATTCGGACACATTCAGCGCGCAGACGCCCGTTCCGCCTGCGATCGCGCACCCGCACCCGCATTCGTGATTTCGTGATTTCGTGATTGGTATTGGCCTTGACGATTTTGACTCGTCGCTTTGGGGAGACGTGCGCGCGCTGCTGCTCTCGACATGCAACATCCTCGAATGCTTTGTGCGAGAGATGAAAGATGCTTGGAACTTGCGGCAAGGTATCACATGGTGAGATCGATGTTAGGGTGTGAGGGTGTCCATGCGATGATGGGCGGGCGCCCTTGCGATGAGGGTCCGCGGTGGCTGGCATGCATCGTGGCTTCTCCCAACATCATCACGAGTCACACTCGCACGCGTGCCATGCATTCCTCGAGTGCACGACGGACGCTATGCGCTCTCATCCGCGGACTTTTTACAATGAAGCGATCGAGGTGAAGGTCACGTGACTCGAACCTGAGCCATCCATGATCCCTTCCATGCCATGCGACGCATTGGATCGATCCATTCGAGGATGGGCAGACCTGACTTGCAAAGTCCTTCTTGCTTCTTACAGCTCTCACCATCCATGCGCGAATTTTTTGAACCAAGAGCGAACATGAAGGCGAACGCGAATCCTAAGCATGGGAAAAAGGCAGATAGAGGTCGCTAGGTGCTACCCACGTTGAGGAGATTTAGTCATCAAGCAAAACAAGAAGATAAAGCACATGTAATTTCAACGCGATAATCGGAGCGAGAGGAGATGAATAATTGTGAGAGAGAGGTGGTGGGAGGGCTGCTCGCGCCGCAAGGCAGGTCGGGAGGAGCATTGGAGATGATGAACCAGTCAAAGTCAGAGGGTGCGAGCATCATCGTTCGTCCATTCGTCCTTTTCTTTTTGGGACAGTCACGTCGGTGGTGGCTCATATCAGCAAACCACGCTTCCCACTGCCATGCTTTGAGCGACTGGCTCAATGACGCAGCTTCTTGGCCAGCGAGCGTCTGACAAAGCCGGAGCGCTTCTGCGGCGAGGTGGTAGTCTCGCTTCCAGCAGTGCCGGCACCGGTCTCGGTATCGGTAGGCTTGACATCAGTCGAGGTCAACGAGCCTTGCGCGCTCTTGTCCTGCTTTTTCTTTTCCTTCTTTTCTTTTTTCTTCCCGTCCGGCTTGCTGCTCGACGTTTTGGTGTCGTCTTTGGTGTCCGAAGACTTGGAGGTGGGCAGATCGTCCGTCGTAGATGTAGTCGTGTCGTCGGGCCCACCAGCATCCGTCGTCGAGTCGGGCGTGGAGGCCAAGAGATCGATGGGTTGATCCGTAGGGCCGTCCTTGGAATCCTTGGAACCGTAGTTGATCGACGGATTGGTCGCGCCCGACTTGGTGCCCTTGTCAATTGCTGCGCCAGTATCCAGCGTGGCAGTGGTATCGGTACCGTTGGAGAGGTTCAGCTTTTGAACCAGGAGCTTGGTGTAGTCCCAGAAGATCCTGTCGAGAGCAAAGTCGAAGAATCGCACAAACAAGGCGGCGGAACGATCAGCTCGATCTGTCGTTCTGGCAGAACTACACGCGACCAGCAATGGCGGCGCCGACTCACTCCTCTTCGCCCTTGGTCGGACCGGTACGAGCAATGCACAGCACGGCAGCCTTCTTGTTGGTCTTGCTGTCCAGCTCCTTGTAGTTGTTCTGCGTTCTGTACTTGCCAGTGATCTCGTTGCATCCTATAGCCCAGTCTGCAGCAAACTTGCCGTTTGACGCATCATCTCCTGGAACGGTAACATCTGCAATAGCGTAGCGTGGCCAGGCGAAAATGAGCGTGAGTGAAAAGGCCGTGGTCGGCAATCACCGTACATCGAAGCTTGCTCACCGACGTAGCCGTCCATGATGCTGTTGATCGGGGCCACCTTTAGCTTGCCGGAATCCTCGCCCGGTGCAGTGCTTGGGTCGGCGCCAGCGCCGATGCCCTTCCCTGGCTTGGTCACTTCGACTTTCGAGTTGTCGTCCTTGCCCTTCTTGCTCTTGTGCTTTCCCGAGCTCCTTTCATCCGATGTTCCAGTATTGGTAAAGTCGGGAGAAGGAGATATCTCCGGCGTGCCAGTGTCGGTAGTCTTGTCGTCAGACAGGGAAGTAGTGTCGGTCGACTTGGTCTTCTTGCTCTTCTTGGTGGACTTGTCATCGTTGGGAAGGTCCAACTTCTTGTCATCGCCAGAACTACTTGGAAGCTTGGGGTCCGTGAGCGAGTCGGGCTGCACGGTCTGTGCTGCCACCATAGTAGCGGCGCAAAGGCCGATGGACAAAGCAATGAAAGCGCGAGAGAGCTGCATGGTGAGTGGGTGTGCTGTCGGAGCTGTGTGTTGTTGATCAAAGGGACAGGCTGGTCTGGCGATAACGGCAGTCAATTGCAGGTACAAGGATGTGTTGCGGCGAGCCTCGAGGGGACTGTTGCTGAATCATTGCTCGCTGTTATATATTGCTGCATCCATCTCTGCACTGACCGCCAACCAGTTGAACGCTTCATCTGGTCCACACCTCGCCGTGCGCTTTCTCCTGAGGGATGAACGCTTCGAAGCGCGAAGCGAGATGTCGAGGGAAACGACCGACGGGTCACATGTACCCCCGGCTCAGTGGCACGAGGTACGGCAACTTCCACTGCAATGTCCCTCTTTTCCCGACGAACGGCCCGCATCTGGCCGACCAACGCGCACAGGGACACGTTCTCTTGACCGCCGGTCCCGCACTGCCAGGCTGTCGAGGTGAGTGCCCAACGAAGGCAAACTCATTGGGTGCCTCAATATTACCTGGAGGTCGGATGTCGCACGTACGATACATTGCACGGCGCTCTACTTTTCGAAGGACGAAGCGAGATCAGCCGTGCTTGAGCGCTGCGCTAAAGCTGGCTGCTGAACTTTCAGGCACGGATCGCGCCGGGGGTGGGGATGTACCCGAGTGGAGCGTGACTTGATCTTGACAGCTGCGACTGCTGTCACAAGATCAGAGACGTCAGCAATCAAGCATGTCAGCGGCAATGTAGACACCGCGAGCATCACTCAGTTGCATGCGATGGACGCACAATCGTGAAGGCCAGCTCATGCAGGTACACACAGTGCTCATGACGAACATCCAGACAGAGGTGTCCGCAATGACCATCGGCGCTCGTGCCTTGCTTTCGGCGATTCAAGTTTACTCCGATTTCAAAGCGCCCCGCCGCAACCTGTCCGTTCTGCGATGCAACAACGTCCTTTGAGGTGCCTAATTAGCCAGAAAACCACAAGCTTCCTCCCAGACTCTCTTCTTCGGCCCCCGCCAAAATCTTCCATTTCCCTTGATCAGCCTCGAAAGTCTAGCCTCAGCAGCGATTTGCTCCTAATAGCCTCGCTTTCTCGGTCAAGTTAGCTTCTGTGATCTCATACAACCTTGGTCTACGTAGCACTCCATGTAGCACGAGCCGCGGCTTGCTCATACGCCGGTCGCAGCACGCCGCTTGACAACGCACCGGAAGCGGGCCGTAGGGCATGTTCAGCAACCTCGGTGCGGTCCACAGATCCGTTCGCGACATGCAGTCCCTGCACCCATCATCCAGCATCTCGCGTGGAGCGTCGCTGTGACCTCGTCGATGGCGGCGGGCCGCAACACCTCATCTGTAACAAGTCGCATCTGTTCTTTTGTGTCGGCAATGCATTCCCGACCAACGTGGCATGTTGACTGGACCGATCATAGGCGTCTCTGAATGACCGAGCAGCCGAGCAGACCACCATTGCCTGCTTGCTGTCGCTGAGGCCGACGACGCACAACGAGGCCGTCTGACTCGGCGCAATCAGCGCAAGTACCCGTCTTCCATTCACACGCACACACACCAAACGCTGTAGTACAAGGGATCGAATTGCGTCACGACGAAGTGGAACAAGAGCGGGCGAGTCGACAAAGTCGTGCTCAAGTCTGGTCGGTACGATCCACATCCTTGGCTCTCCTCGTTTGCAGAGCAAGCCTAGTGGTCGCTCAGAGGCAAGAGATAGAGAGAAAATAGATGTTGGTTTTGGGGATTTTTGTCGAGCGCGAAAACCCGCGCATTGCATAGTGTCAACGAAGAGCTGATGCTTGATTGTAGAATGCATGTATGTGTGACTGTGCGCGATGAGGACACAATCTATTGGGCGTAGAGTTGATGAGGGTCGAACAAAAGATGACGTGGGACAAGGCATGACGAAGGCGGCGCGCGGGACGATGCGCGACGCGCCTACTTCTGCTCGGTCTCCTGCTCCACCGCAGTGATGGCGGACCTCTTCTCCGCCAATCTGTTGGCACGGCGCTCGCGCATCGTCTTGTTGCGAACACGACGAGCCTCCATCTGATCCGCAAGGTGCTTGGCACGAGTGGCCTCTGCCTTGGCCTTGTGAATGTGCTCCATCAACACGCGCTTGTTCTTGAAGACGTTACCCTTGCTCTTCATGTAGAGCTCGTGGTACCTGCATCGAGTCCAATCGACAAAAGGGTCAGTCTCGCAAGTTTCAAAAGTCCCGCGATCAACCCTTTCGGATGCCTCGCCACTCCGATCCTCTCGTCCACTCACAAGTGCTTGTCAATCTTGCCAGACTCTCTGTACTTGCGCAACAGTCTGCGGAGGACACGTTGGCGTCGCATCCACATGACCTTGGTTGGCATACGAGCCTCGGCCGTACCCTTGCGCTTACCTGTGCCAGTGTGACGACCGAGACGCTTGGCAGCGTGAGCATCGCGCGTTCTAGCGCGAGATTGACCAACAACGGGCTTGCGAATGATTTGACCATCCTTGATCAGCTTGCGAATGTTGGCACGCGAGTTGGCATTGGCAATGTCGGATTGCTCGGCCGGGTCCAGCCAGATCTTGCGCTTTCCGACACCGAGAACGGACG